GAGGCCCTTGTGCGGGGGCAGTTTACTTATACCTGTGCGAGTGAGCGCAGCCACCCCCGCCCCCGAGCTGAGACCTCCTCTCTCCGTGACGTAGGAAAGGTGGAGGCAAGCATTCTAACCAGACATTCGTACTTTGCCCCCCCCCGCCGGCCCTATCTTTGGAATCGAGAGTGAGCTCCTGCACCAGCGCCACAGACGCGTCGATCTCCTTGTCCAAATACCGTGGCGTAGAACGCCATGAAGTAGTGTCACATGTTTCGAGCTTGAAGATTGCCTTGCCACGTCGGGACCCTCCTGCCTCAGACCTAACCTCGGCTGGCTGGAAAACCAGGCATGTTCAGAAACGTGCTCTAGCAGTGGCTCAGCATGTGGCCCCTGGTGGCAACTCGATGACCCCTTGCCCGAGATCCAACCCCCCAGTGGGCCCGCGGAGACCTAAATGCTCAGGAGTCCCAGAGCCAAGCAAAACACAAGTACCCTTGGACCCCTCGCCCAAAGACCAGGCATCCGAGACTCACTAAGATATCTGGACAAGTCGGCCGCGATCGAGAACTGGAGCCGCCATCGCCCCACTGCGCACAGCACTCCAAGGGGGGGCCTCTCGAACTGTCGACCTCTGGACGGCCGGCAGCACTTCTCGGCCCGCGAGACAGGATTCGCAAGAGCCCCCCCCCCCTGGACGACCCGAGCGCCGCCCAGGGGGGAATCGCGCAAGAGACTCGGGCAGGCCCCCCCCCGCCCCCCCGAGACACTGACATCTCGCATGCCGTCTTTGCTGCCACTAGGCGCGGCAGTGCGCCGCCGCCGACGACTGCACCTGGCCCGCCGCCGCCCCCCCCCCCCCCCGGGGCCCTGGAGAACCCGAGGAAACCGAAACAGCAGGTCCCGAGCCCGCGGGCCCCGCGGCTGCTCCCGGGGCGGCAGCGGGCGGCGCGGCAGAGGGGCCAGCGGCAGCAGGCCCCGCGCCTGTGCCAGCTGGCTCTCCTGCAGCACTGGATGGCTGGCGGTCGGCCGGTTCCTCGGCGCGAGCGCGCTTCCGCTGCAGGCGCCCAAAATTCTCTTGATGCTCAGCCCGAATGCGCTGGATGTCCCCCAGCGCCTTCTGAAAGAGTTCTTTTGTGATGCCTTGCGCTTGGGCATTGAGCGCCCCCCTCCGGTCCTCGAGCTGCTTGGCGTCTTCTGGCGACAGCTCGTAGTCGGCGACGTCGACAAAGAGGCTGTCGATGTCGAACAGATCGGCGGCCGCTGCCGCGCCGTCAACCACCTTGTCAATGGAGAGCTTAGCTGGCACCAGGGGCTCCTTGCCAAGATGTACCCCTTCCAGCCTCGGCGATCTCAGCGACCAGGTGACGATGCTCAGCGTCAGTCTCTCTGAGTGCAGCTTGAACTTCACGTGCGACATGTCTCTGCTGCGCAGCCCGCTTCTCCAAGCGCTCCAGCTTGCCGAGCTCGTCGCTGAGGACATGTTCCTATCGCTGGGCGGAGCCAACTGAGGCGACTGGAGCCTCTGGAGCTGGTCACGGTACTTCGAAGCTCCCTCAGCATCCCCAGCTTTCTCCAAGTATCCGATGAGGCGCTGCAAGTCCTGCGCGCTGGCGGAGGGCGCTGGGCCTCGACCTTGTCGATGTGATTCAAAGCTGAACTGTCGCAACCGCGCTCCACCTGCCCCTCGACTGGGGTCTCGGCCTCCTGCAACTAATTGCTGCCCTGTCGGCGTAGACGAACGAGTTCGCAGGGTGCCTGCAGGGACAGGAGCAGTAGGAACATCACGCAGCGCCAACTGCTTGAGGCTCGTCGCGGCCTCTGTCCGATTGTGGTGGCAGTGCTTGCATCGGCCCATGATTGCCAGGTTCCTCGCGCAGCCACACAATCCACACTTCCACTTAGGCTTTGGGACGACAGGAAGCTGGCGGTCGCGCTCCCACCGCTCCCAATCCCAGTCGTTGTCTGTGTTGTTCTCTCTTTTACCTTTGCCTTGGCTCTGCCTGACTGCTGCGTTCGCCACGGCGCAGACAGTCTCTCCTCTGGGTTCCACTGAGAATAGCGCTGAGCCCCCGAGCGTGTAGTATGACGCGACGCTGCTCCTGGGGACCCATCTCTACGCCAGCTCATAGGAACCGTCTGCTTGCACTGCGAAGAATGATGCCCTTCTAACAAACTCGCTGCTCTCCCCAACCTGACTAACGTCATGGCTCGCGAACGCTGGTGCCTCGCCCGTCTGTGCCAGGATGCCTCGACTGGTACGTGCTCACTCGTTGCAGCGAGAAAATGAAGCGCAGAAGGACTCTGCGCGGCGCAAGCCTCGCCTGAGGTCAGACCTGTGAGGGCAGAGAATTGTACAGTAGCGAATGTGCCCTCGCGCGCGCGCTCAGGCCCAAACCTTCCTCCACCTCCTCCTCCTCCTCCTCCTCCTCCTCCTCCTCCTCCTCCTCCTCCTCCTCCTCCTCCTGCTCCTCCTTTCCCTCGACCTCCCCGCCCCATAAAACGCACGCCTACGCGCGACCCGAGCCATGTCCTACCCGACCCTGTATGGGGGCCAAGTAATACCTCACCCGCGGCCCCTCCCCAGCCCCCGCTCCCACCGCAAACGTTCACGTGCGATCCGAGCTAGGTTCCACGTGCGAGCCCACGGGCGACCAGGCCATCCCCACTTGCGACCCTCCCCCCTCCTCTCCCCCGCCCGCCCCCCCCCTCCCCGCTCTGAGTGCTCGCAAATTGCCATGTCCGTTCGCAAGCTGACCCCAGGCTATTGGGGGAACGGAAACCTAGGTCACCTGACTTCGCGCATCGCGCCCCTCGGTGCGCGACGCGCGGTTATGGGGATCGGACGATCGCGCCGCATCGCCGATGCATCCCTGATATATTGACGATGCATCGACGATGCATCGGCGACGTCGACGATGCGTCAGCGACGTCAGCGTGGAGAAAATCGGGCTTCACATCGAGCCGCATTGCTTATGCATCGGCGACGCCGAGCGACGCGACCCTCTGACCCCATCTAGGAGGCCGAGGAAGACGAGGACGACGAGGAGGAGGGAGAGGAGGAGGAGGAGGAGGAGGAGGACAAGGCGAGAGGAGGAGGAGGAGGAGGAGAAGGAGGGGGAGGAGGAGGACGAAGAGGAAAGGAGTGAATACGGGATGGCCAACAACAAAAATAAGAAAAGAAGCACACGATTAAGTGGGCCTTCTACTCCGACCCCACCTATGGAGGCCCAGAGAAAGCCACACGATCATAAACTTCGAACGTCCGTGGACGGCAGCTCTCTGCCGGAATCCCCCCACCTCGGCGCGCGCAGCGCGCCCCGACGTGCCCGATGCGTGGCGCTAGAGGAACATCGGGAGCGGCCAAGAGGGGGGTGTCCAAGAGGGGGAGGCGCAAATCATGGCCGGCGGCATGTGCGCGGCCCAGGTTTGGGGCCAGGGACGTGATGAAATAAGAAGAGGCGCCATGAGATCTGGGGAAATATCATGCCCCCCGCCATGATATCCACCCCCCCTAGTCATCACCCCCCTCTTTGCCGCCCCCGGGAACGACAACCCGCATAAACACAAGTTCTCGAAAGTCTGCGCGGATTAATTGGATCGGCGCTGGGCTCGCCTCCCCAATGCGCGGACCGCGCCAGGGGCGGCGCCAGAGGCGCCGCCAGGGGGGCCCTGGCGCCGATCCAAGAGATCCGCGCGGAGCTCCGACAATGTATGCTTTTACAGTTCTGCGTCGGCAGAGAATGATGTCACATAGGAGTGGCTCAGGGCACGCTACAGGATTTTGAGAGCATCTAGCGGCGCAGCCGATGCGGAACAGCAGGAATTATGGAGAGTTCTGGAAACCTTAGAACTCTTGGAATGTACTAGTATCATAACCTCTTGCCCCTCTCACTCAGAGAAGCGCGCTTCACTATTCGCAAAAAGTAACTGCTCGCAAGTGGCCTGGATCCGCCGCGGGGGATTCACCTACGATTCATGACGCAGAGCAAGACATGTGCTTTTGGGACGCTTGCGTGCAGGCACTCTGCGAGTAGTGTTATGTCGGGCCTGTCCCCCTACAGGGGGATTCTCGACGAAAAATAAAAGATACCCCACAAATACCCCAAGAAGGTCAAAACATGCTCACAAAATAGTCCCCAGACTATTTGTGGACTATTTTTTGACTGTTTTTGGGGTATCTGGTATTTTTCGTCGAAAATCCCCCTGTAGGGGGACAGGCCCGACTTAAGAGCAGTGGAAGCGCGCTCCGTGCTCACTGCTCCTCTGCGAGGAAGGCAAGGCCCGGCGCGCTGGCGGGACTGCGCCGGCCCCGGGCGTCCGAAGTCTGCGCTCGCGCGGCCACGGGGCCACGCATCTGGGGGGGTCAGTTTTTTTGTTTGTTTTTGTTTTGTTTTGTTTTTGGGGGGAGGGGGGTCCCACCCGCCCTGCTCGTAAAAATAACGAAAAAAGAACGCAAAGGAGGAGGAGGAGGAGAAGCAGGGAGGAGAAGCAGGGAGGCCCTCTCGCAGTGGTGAGTCCGCCGCCTGTCGCCGCCCGGAGCCCAGCGTCCCAGCGGGCGGTGGATGTGGACCTACTTTGGCCCTGGGGGGGCCCGGCATGTCTGAAGGGGCCCCAGGACACACAAATAGATACACACAAGTAAAAATATTCCCCATGCTTTCCCATATTTGTTGCTGGGTTTTTGTCTTCCCCCCACTTCCTATATTTTCCAATATTTTCTGGGGAATCGACGATTAATTGTGTCTGTGTGTTTTTTTCCCTCCTGAATGTCCACATCCACCGCCTGCCGAGGTCCCCGAAGGTCGATGCGGTGCTCCAGGCGGTGGTTGTGGAGATATCCCCGCCTCGGACGCATGTCCCCACGCGCTCGGGATCTCGCCGAGGAGGCCGAGGAAAAGGGGGAGGGAGGGTGTCTCGAGGTCCCCCGAAGATCGATCCCCCAGGCGGTGGGTCACGGGTACATCCCTGCCTCGGATGCCGGCCCCGCGACCAGGCGGGGCCCCCGTCCGCCCGTCCTCTTGGCGAGCGCGAAGTCGGTCTCCCACTGGTCCTCGTCCATCCTCTGAGCGCAGGGCCCGGGCAGCGGGTGATGAGACAACGCCGATCCGAAGATCGCATGCCACTGAAGGGAGAGAAACGAGAGAGGTTCTGAGGTCAGCCACAAGCCCTAGGGGACGCCCTTCGGAGAGGACCTTTTGTCACCACAGGGCGGCTGAGACACGCCGACCCGAAGATGAGCCTGGGCATGAGGAGGAGGAGGAGGAGGTTTTTACTTCGACGCCCTTCGATGATGTCTTTTCGAGGGACCCTTTTGTCACCACAGGGCGGCTGAGGACACGCCGACCGAAGATGGCCTGGGCATTGAGGAGGAGGAGGAGGAGGTAGAGGAGGAGGAGGAGGAGGAGGAGGAGGAGGAAGAGGAGGGGAGAGGAGGGGGGGAGGAGGCGGATGGGGTACTTCTGCGACGGCGACGACCACGCATTCCCCCCCTTCCCCTCTCCCTCCACCTCGACCTCATCATCCTCTTCCTCATTCCTGATTCCTAACGGGTGCGAAATCGCTCAGACGTAGCCTCCCTCCTCCTCCTCCTCCTCCGCCTCCTTCTGCTCCTCCTCCTCAGCCACCTCCTCCTCCTCCGCCTCCTCCTCCTCCTCCCTCCTCCACTCCTCCTATTCATCCTCCTCCTACCTCCTCCTCGCATCGTCCTCCTTCTCCTCCTCCGCCTCGTCCTCTCCTGTCCTCCTCCTCCTCCTCCTCTCCTCCTCCTCCTCCTCCTCCTCCTCCTCATACTCCCTGTTCATTCTCCTCCTCCTCCTCCGCCGCCTTCTCCTCCTGCTCCCTTCTCCTCCTCCTCCTCCTCCTCCTCCTCCTCCGCCTCCTCCCGTTACGAGACCTGCAACTCTCTCTCTCTCTCTCTCTCTTTCTCTTTCTTTGTTTTTCTCTCTCTCTCTCTCTCTCTCTCTCTCTCTCTCTCTCTCTTTATATATATATATATATCTCTCTCTCTCTCCCTCTTTCCCCCTCTAGGGCGGCACGGCTCCCTGGCACCCTCTGGAGCTCGACGATCTCCCGCATCTTTTCCGCCTGCGCTGGCGCTGCCAATCACGGGGGGCAAAGGGGAGGGGGCTCCGTCCCCTGGAGAAGCACGAAGTGCGGAGAGGGGGGGGGGGGGGGGGGGAAGGCGCAGGGAAAACGACCCCGACTGGTCGTCGGACGATGACGGACGTCGACGACGACGACGACGGACGACGCCGGTGCGACGGCCGACGACCACGGCGGCGGCGGCGGCGGCGGCGGCGACGACGCTCAAGGTCGTGCGCTACGACGGCGGAACGACGCCGATAGACGGACGACGATGGGCGTGGAGGGCCTGAGACCGCGGGGAGGGAGCGCAGGACGAGGTGTTTCCACCAGTGATCGGATACGTGCTGGTGGTCGAAGCAGGCCCTCCTCCTCATCGCTCCCTCCTGTTCTTTCTCCTCCCCGACCTTTTCCTACTCAAGTCGTCCTATGCATCCCCCGCTCCTCATCCTGACCTTCCTCCTCCCCGGTCGCCTGACAGTTTTGTGCTCTCATTCCCACCCTCCTCCCTCGGCCCCCTCCTCCCCCGTCCCTCAAGTAATGTTCCGAGAAGGTTCACAAGCGTACCCAACCTCACGCGAAGCTGTCCAGCCATAGCGTCGGGGGTGGCAGGGGAAAGTATCAGGGGGGGTGATGTGGAAGGGACGACGGGTTCACTCGCTCATCTCGTTTTGCGCCGAACTTCGGCGGGGTGACGCCTTCTTGTGCTGCCGCGACCGACCGACCCCGTCCCCAAGCCACTTCCCCCGTTCACCCTCTACGTACTTCTGGAATCCAGAACGTTAGCCAGCGTGGACCCACACTGTCTCTAGCAGTATATGCGGTGCAACATGTGGAGCACTCTATGCGGTGTAATCTACGTCGTGCAACATATGCTGTACAATCTAGGCGGCGAAGGGGCGGCGACGGCGAGCACGGAGCCGCCAGACCGCCAGCAAGGCCGAGACGACGGGCGGTGACGATGCGGCGACGGGGCGGCGACGGCGAGCACGGAGCCGCCAGACCCCCGGCCAGGCCCAGTTCCTTAGGAAAGAAATGAGAAACCCTAAGTGCAAGCACTGTTTGGGGAATATGGGACAGCAGCCAGGACTTGCCGCCCACAGGGCTGGGAGCGGCGCGGCAGCTTCGGGGGCACCACATTATACTCTCAGAGGTTCAGGCAGACCTGCCGAAGCTGCTTGCCTGGTGCCTGAAGTGCGGCGCGTGTCACCTAGATCACCCAGCTTCGAGCACCGCGCCCCGCGGTGCGCGACGCACGATTCTCTTCGCGCCACGGCGCCGTCGAGCCGCCCCCCCTGGAGAAGGGCCGCCGCTCTGGCCCAGACCGCGACGCGCGCAGCGCGACTACTCTCACGCCCCTGCGGGTGAGCTCAGCTGCATGCGGCGGCGGCCGCCTGTGGGCTGCGGGCTGCGTGGCAACTGCCTGTGCCACGGCCACCCCGGCACCGCGGAGGCCCGCCGGCCGCCGCGGCCGCCGCGGCCGCTGCCGCGAGCCGAGGCCTGCACGAAGGCGGGCGCGGAGCGCGCCGCGGCCGCCCGCGGCACCGCGGGAGCCGGCGCCCGGGCCGCCGCTGGGCGCGGGCGCGGACCAGGGACGCCCTGGAAGCCGCTGGTGCTGGAGAGGCGCGGCCGGCGCCGGCCACGGGCCCTCGCCATCGCTCGGACGTCCATTCTCTGTGTTTTTGTTCGGTTTCGTGCGTGGCTTTTTTCGCCAAATGATCAAGGGTGCTCCTCGGTGGTCCTCGCCGAAGGAAAAATGCACACGTCCGAGCGATGCCAAGGGCCTCGGGCCCAGTTCCACGTGCCCGCCTGCGTCGCGGCGGCCGCCGCCTGGGGGGTCAGCAGAGCGTGGGTGCTCGGCCCGTCGCCCTTCGAGCAGCACGTGTAAGAGAGAGCCACGCGGGCTGGGGCTTGAGCTGCAGCCCGGAGGCAAACATCTCCCCCCCTGAATCACTTCCACCTCCCCCTCCTCCCCCTCCTCACCTCCAGCACCTCCTCTTCCTGCTTCACCCTCTCATCATCGCCTCCTCCTCCTCCTCCTCGTCCATCGTCCTCCTCCGCGTCTTCATCCTCCTCCGCCTCCTCTTCATCCTCCTCCCTCCGCCTCCCATCTCTTCATCCACCTCGTTCTCCTCCTCCTCTGCCTCCATCATCATCATCATCATCATCATCATCATCATCATCATCATCATCATCATCATCATCAGCATCATCATCATCATCATCATCATCATCATCAGCATCAGCATCAGCATCATCATCATCATCATCATCAACATCATCATCATCACCGCCGCCACCATCACCACCACAACCGTCATCATCATCAGCATCATCAGCGGCTTCATCATCATCATCATTAACTTCACCATCTTCTTCATCATAATCATCATCATCAACAATAAGATCACTATCATCAACACCACCACAACTATCATCATCAGCAGCAGCATCATAATCATCATCATCAGCATCATCATCATGATCATCATCAGCATCATCATTATAATCGTCGTCGTCATCGTCATCATCATCGTCATAATCATCATCAGCATCACCATCATCATCATCATCATCAACAACATATCACCATCATAATCATAATACGAATCATAATCATAATCGGCATCACCGTCATCATCGCAACCATCATGATCATCATCATCATCATCATCATCATCAGCATCATCACCATCAATTATCACCACCACAGACAGCATCATCATCACCATCACCATCAGCATCAGCAGCATCAGCCTCATCAGCATCACCATCCTCATCAGCATCACCATCATCAGCAGTATCATCATCAGCAGCATCATCACAAACACCACCAACTTCATCATCAACATTATCGTCATCGCCATCATCACCACCAGCAACAACAACAACCATCAACATTTTGAGACTGCTGGCTCTTATCTGCTCGCGTGCCATCCTCAATACCCTCCGCTTCGTCTTCGCTCATACCCCCCTTGAAAAATTACCTTCCGTACCTGCCACGTGTAGTTGGCGCAGCCCCTAAAACGGGAAGGGAGGGAGGAGGAAAGGGGCAACGGGGAGAGAGAGGGATAGAGCACAACAGAGACTAGCAAGAGTAGGAGTTCGGACGAGGAATACAAGCGGCAAAACAAGACGGGCGTGTCGGGCGGGCGGACCTTCACCGGCGGGTCGGGCGGGCGGGCCCAGGCAGCTGGGTCGAGCGGGCGGGTCGCTGAAGCGTGAGTCCTGCATGAATCGCGAGGAAGTCTCGAGCGATAATACGATTCCCGAGTGTAAATTGTGAGGAAGTCCCACGCGAGAGCGCGATTCCTACATGAATTGTGGGGCAGTCCCGCGCGAGAAGGCGAATTTGAAGAAATTGTGCCAACTTATCAATTGGGAGCCGCTGCTGTTGTTGTACTATGTCGGGGGCCAGCATCGCAGTCTGAGGCCCAAGGCGTTCCCTGGTAAATAACTAAACGCGAGCCTCGGGAGAGGCACTTCATTTGAAACAACCACAAGGTGCTCCAGAGGGGGGATCAACAATACTTTCCAATTAGAAATGAAAGTTCAATAAGAGCATTTTAAGACTGTTCGCCCTCATCTGCTCGTGTGTCAATGTAGATTCCAAACCATCGATACCCGCACTCTTCGTCTTCGATCGTACTCCCCCTTGGGGGCACATCTTCGTTACCTACCACGTATATTGGCGCAGCCCCTAAAAAGGGAAGAGGAGGGAGGCAGGAAACAAGAGAACGCGAAGAAGAAAGGAGCGCGAGGAGGAAGGAGGGAAGAGGCAGGGGGGAGGGAGAAGGATGGAACACGAGAGAGATAAGCAGAAAGGCGGTCAGGAGCAGGACAACAAGCGGCAGAACCAGACGGGCGGGTCGGGCGGGCGGACCCTGACGGGCGGGTCGGGCGGGCGGGCCCAGACAGCCCGGTCGAGCGGGCGGGTCGCTGAAGCGTGAGTCCTGCACGAACCGGGAGGAAGCCTCTGGCGATAGTACGATTGCCGAGTGCAATTCGTGAGGAACTTCAGAGCGAGAGCGAGTGTCGGGGGTGCGGCGTCTGAATACATTGCGTGGAAGTCCCACGCGAGAGCGCTATTCCTGGATAGACTGTGAAGATATTCTGCGCGAGAATGCGACGCTGCATACAATATCAGACAATGCTGTCGTTGTTGCTGCTGATGTTGTTGATGATGATGCTGCGGATGGCTGGTAACGATGATGATGGAGATGGTGATGGTGATGGCGATGGTGATGATGCTGGTGATGATGATGACGATGATAATGATGACAATGGTGGTGGTGCTGATGTTGGTTATGATGATGATGGTGATGATGCTGGTGATGACGATAATGATGATGATAATGATAATGATAATGATGATGATGATGATGATGATGATGATGATGATGATGACGGTGTTGATGATGATGATGATGGTGATGATGATGATGCTGATGATGATGATTCCTCTTCCTCATCAACATCATCATCAGCAGCAGAAGTAGCAACAACGTCATCATCATACTCATACACAGAATCACCACCATCATCAACATCATCATCGTCGTCGTGCAATCATCATCATCCCCCTCCTCCTCCTCCTCCTCCTCCTCCTCATCATCATCATCATCATCATCATCATCATCATCATCATCATCATCATCATCATCATCATCATCGCCACCATCATCGTCATCATCCTCATCCTCATCCTCATCGTGATCCTCATCCTCATCCTCATCTTCATTCCCATCCTCGTCCTCATCATCACCACCAGCATCCTCATCCTCATCCTCATCATCAGCATCCTCATCATCACCACCACCGTCAGCACCATCATACTCATCATCATCATCATCATCATCATCATCATCATCATCATCATCAACAACACTAAAATCCGCCGACCCCTTGGGGTCATCGGCGTGTGAGATGCTTCCCCCCTCCCCAAACCCCTCCCCCCGGAGCCTGGTCCGGTCGTTTTGGAGGGGGGGGGGGGGGGGTCCGGCCGGATTCCCCGGGATCCGCCGGCGCGGTCCGGGGGGGGTCATCCGCTCCAGAGAGTCTGCTGGGGGGGCCGCAAACGAGCGAAGAGGCTCCCAAGAAGCTCTGCAGACGGTCCAAGAGGGCCCCGAGTCGCCGAAAAAACACTCGAAGACGGTCAAGATGGCCTCCAGATGGCCCCAGATGCCTCCAAGACGCCCCAAGAAGCTTCCAAGACGCCTCCCAAGATGGCCCCAAGAGGCCAAAATCGTCGATTTCCATTGGTTTTTTCAACGTTTTTGGCCTTCGCGTTTTTTCGGGCTTCCGACGCTCCAAGACGGCGAAAGAAGCCCCCAAGACGGCATCAAGACGACCCGAGAGGCTCCCAAGTGGGCCCCAACACGGCCCAAGAGCGCCTCAAAACGGCTCAAGAGGGCCTTCAGACAGTCCAAGAGGGCCCACAGAGGGGCCCAAGAAAGGCTCCAGACGGGGACCACGAACCTAAAATTCTAGCCTTCCGCCCCAAAAGGCGCCAAGGAGGCCCCAAGAGGCCTCCAAGAGGCTCCAAGAAGCCCCCAAGAGGCCCCCAACAAGCCCAAAAAAAGCCCCAAGCTGCCCCAAAACAGCTCCCCAGAAGCCTCCAAACTGCCTCCCGCAGGCCCCCGAGAGGATTCTCACGACGACGGCGCCAGAGGCTCCCACAACGGTCAACGAAGCCCCCAAGATGGCCCCAAAAAGGTGCCCAGCCTACGCCGTCGAGTCTGTCGCCGCCATTGTCGTCCTCGTCGTGTTCTCCTGCTCCTTCTCATCCTCCTCTTCCGCCCCCTCCTCCCGTCTCCCCTCTCAGCTTTCTGTCTCGTATTCCCTCCACTGGCTCACTTTTCACCTTCTCCGCCTTTGGCTGCTCCCCCATCCTCCCTCCTCCACGTCCCCCTTATCCATCCCGTCCCCAGCGGTCAGATTCCTCGCAACTTCCGTGCCTTGTCGCAATGCTCGTCACTTGGTTCCGCCGGGCGTTTCGGAGGGTCTCTCCGCGGCGCTCGTCCCGCTTTAAAACACTTCGCGCACACAACTGGGTTGTTTCGCTTGAAATAATTCTTCTTCTGGTCTTTCGACAAATGGCCCCCGTCTGAAAACGCTGGTTTCTTCCCGTCCCCGTTCGGTGGGCACGCGGAGCATTCAAACTTTTTCGCCCCCGTGCGCGCATCGCCCCAGAAAAAAAAACAAGGGGTCGGCGGATGTGGCGTAAGCTTGAAGAATCATCATCATCGTCTTCAGCATCAGCATTATTATCATCCACATCGCCATTATCATCACCATCAGCAGCATCATCAGTTTCGTTATCATCATCCTAACCATCATCATCACCAGCATCACCACCATTGTCATCATCGTAATCACCATCAACATCATCATCATCATCATCATCGTCATCACCATCATAATCAGCAATAGCATCATCATAATCACCATCATCACCGTCATCACCATCACCATCACCAGCATCATCATCAGCATCATCGTCATCATCATAATCATCATCATCATCAGCATCAGCATCAGCATCCTATTCATCCTGCTCCTCCTCCTCACCATCATCAACAGCATCGCCATCATCATCGCCATCATCATCATCCTCATCATCATCAGCAGCATCAATGACATCACCATCATAATCAACATCATCATCATTATCACCATCAGCGTCATCATCATCACCATCACCATCACCATCATCATCATCATCAGCAGCAGCAGCATCGCCACCACCATCGTCAACATAACCATCAACATCACAATCTTGCTTCTGCTGCTGCTGCTCCCTCCTTCTCAGCCTGCGCCCAACGAGCCCCGCCCACGGTGAAGACCAACGCTTCGAGAAGCAGAAGATGGGCGCAACATCATCGGGAGCGGCCAAGAGGGGGGGGTCCAAGAGGGGGGGTGCAAATCATGACCGGCGGCATGTGCGCGGCCCAGCGGGGGGGCCAGGGACGTAATGAAACAAGAAGAGGCGCCATGAAATCTGGGGAAATATCATGGTCCCCGCCATGATATACACCCCCCCCTAGTCATCACCCCCCTCTTTTCCGCCCCCGACATCAGCAGCTACAGCGGCTGGGACCAGGTGTCACTAGATTCGAGAAGTGGCAGTAGACATACGCCATACATCGCTATGCTGCAGGGAGCCCGACGCCAACGGCCCAGGGCAGACCTGCGGAAATTGCTCGTGGCTATGGCTTCCACGCCGGGGGCTGGCTGCGAGAAGACATTCGGCGTTACCACCAGCATGGGCAAGGAGGGCTGCGAGAATCGGGATGCTTGGAGACGTCTGCCGACCGCTAGATCGCCGCTAGACCCTCCTCCTCCTCCTCCGCAGCAGCAGCAGTCCTCTTCCTCCTCGTCCTCCTCGTCTCCCTCCCTGAAGGAGGAGAGGAAGAGGAGAGAGAGAGGAGGCTGAGCAACCCCTCTTCCTCCCCCTCCCCCTCCTCCTCCTCCTGCTCCTCCTCCTCCTCCTCCTCCTCATCCTCCTCCTCCTCCTCCTGCTCCTCCTCCTCCCCCTCCTCCTCCTGCTCCACCTCCTCCTCCTCCTTCTCCCTCCTCCTCCTCCTGCTTTTCCTCCTCCTCCTCCTCCTCCTCCTCCTCCTCCTCTTCCTCCCTCCTCTTCCTCCTCCTCCTCCCTCTTCCCCCCGCTGCCCCTCGTCTTGCTCACGGGGGGGGGGCCGCCACCCCGAGCCCGCCTGCTGGGCGAAGTCCCGGAGATTCTGCTGGAGTTTGGGCCCTATGCCCGGAACCTGGATGATGCCTCGCCGGGCGGCATCCCCATCAACAATCAGCTGCATCGTCCTCATCATCGCCAGCGTCATCATCACCACCGAGATATCGTCGTCCTCCTGGGGACTGCACTGGCACACTTGGATGCCCACGTCGAGTGAGCCAGTGCGGATTTCCGCAGTCGCTTTGTCTGGGCTGGCGGTTCTCTCAATGCCTGATAATTCGGGGGCTCCTAAAGATACCCCTGGCTCAAGGTGCCCCAAGCTTTTCGCTCAATTTTGGAGCGCCTGGGGGGCTCCTTTGAAATCCTAAGTGCACCTTGGGCCAGGGGCACTTCCAGCAACACCCGAAAAATGGCGTGGAGCTTGGACGTGCTTTGCGACTGCTGGCGCCGTAGCAAGAACTTAAACTGGATGCGGAGCAGGGGCGGATGAGGGGCGGGATCGGAAAGCGCGCCCTGCCCCCCGACGGCTGGGCGATGCCTGCCCTGTCCAGCCAACAGGGGGAGGAGGGGAGGGGGCGGACGAGGCAAGAGGAGGAGGAGGCGACGAAGAGGACGACCAGTGCAAACCCAAGACTCATCAACGATGTTGAAATAGACCCTCCCTCTAAGATCCCTGTTCATAGGCCCGTACCAAGACTGATTCACACTGTGGGAAATGCCCCGTTGAGAAACGAGACAACTGTTTGAAAATCCTGGGACTTGATCACCGCGAATAAACGTAACTGTCGCGCCCTGACAATCCTGAATCTATCCAAAACACAATTTCTGGTACGTAAATCACGAGAACCCGTGAAACTCTTACCAATGTCTGAAACGAATGTGCACGGCGCTAAAGTGAGAGCCACATGTCGAAAAAGGAGCCGCCCTGAATATGTGAAACTCTCCCGATGTTTGTAAAAAATTGCGCGGCGCTACGGCGAAAACCACATGTTGAAAACGGCCCGCCCTGAATCCGTGAAACTCGTCCAACGAATCAAATGTCTTGAGATGAATGTGCGCGGCGCGAAGGCCAGAACCACATTTTGACAACCACCCTACTTGAATGCGCGAAACTCTCGCAATTTGTTTAAACGAATGTGCGCGGCACTCAATTTAGAGCCACACTTTGGAAACTACCTGCCCTCAATCCGGGAAGCTCTCTTTCTTAAACACGAATGTGCGCGGCACGAAGGCGAGAACCACAATTTGAAAACCACCCGCCTTGAATCCTTGAAACTGTTGCCAACTTTAAAATTTCAAGATTGTGCATGGAAAAGGTGACACAGGCGAAGCGCCCCGCCCCCCCTTCCGACTGGCTTCGGGGCGCGACAGGGGGGAGTTACTTACTGTATAAGGAAAAAGACTGGAGGAGGCGGAGGCGGAGGAGCAGAGGAGGAAGAGGAGGAAGAGGAGGACAGCGGATGATGATGTAATGATGATGATGCTGATGATGCTGCTGATGATGATGTTGATGATGATAAAACAGAATGGGAGGACGACGGGGATCCCCACACAAAATGAAACTGGCGACGGAGATAGCGAAGAGGGCCAGGGGCGAGGAGGGTCAGGAGAGCCAGGAGGAGGGAAGAAAGGAGGAGGAGGAGGATTCGTTTGAGCTCTACGCCCACGCCTCCTGCTGCCTGACAGTCTCGGCAGGAGTAGGAGGACGAGGAGGAAACGGAGGAGGACGAAGAGGGGCAGCGTGAGAGGACGAGGCACGAAAACTAGGCATGAACATGAGGAGGAGGAGGAAGAGGAGGAGGAGGAGGAGGAGGAGGAGGAGGGAACGGAACAATACGAGGAAACCGCTCGCGCCCGGCTCCCGGGAGGCCTTCGCGCGCGCTCCGCAGGACGCCGCTCAGATCACGGTACCGCTGCAGCAGCGCGGCGGCCTCTGGCGCGGGGGAGGAGAGAAGGAGGGAGGGAAAGAGAGAGAGAGAAGGCACACAATTTTTTGATCTGCAGGGCGAGAGCGAACCTCTTCCGCTGAAAGCTAAACGGGGTGCGCACGGCTTTAATGAGCAGAGAAGGGGCGGAAGAAGGCGGGGCCTCACGCGGCCAGGAGAGGGCGAAGCCCAGGGATCAGGCGGTGCCGAAGTGGACGTGCAGAAAAGGTACACCTTGGACAGGAGCCTGGTAGTGGAGTCCTGGGAGGAAGAAAGCCGATGGTGGAGCCGTCAACGGCGAGAGAGGGCACAGAAACAAACGATCAGAAAGCCGGTTGTTCTCCTCCTCATCCTCCTCCCCCTCCTCCAACTCCTCCTTTGCTCCATTGCTCCATTGGCGTCTGGATCCCCTACACTGAAAGCGCGAACATCCAGAAGCAAAGATGGTGAGTCGGGGTCGGCTGCCCAAGCACACCACGGATCGCTGCGCGCCCACAAGCTCCTGCGGTGAAGAGCTTGAAGGAAAAAACGCAAACGAGTTGGCAGGCAGCAGAGAGCAAGACAGCTGGGGGGAACAAGCCTCACTGCCTAAACGGTGTTCGAGCTGCGTCCGCCCCGCAAGGCTCAGATAACGACACCCCCAGTGCCGCCCCGATAAGCCACCCGAGGGGCGCCACTCCCTTGGGCGACCGCACACCCCCACGCACGCCAGGGCGGGGGCCCCTGGCCGTGGGAAGGATGGGTGTGGATCCGCCATGAGACCCCCGAAGGGGACCCCCCACCCGCCCAGGCACCCGCGGCGTACGGGCCGGGCCACCGCAAGGTGTGGGAAACGTGGCGACGAGGGAACGACACGACAGACGACGACAGCGACGGCGACGACACGACGGGGAAGACGGACCCCCAGCCACGACTCCCACGGGGGACACCTGGCTGGGTAGCCAGGCTCCCGTGGGAGGCTGCGTGGCCGGGTGCCCCCCGGGAAGGGGACCCCGCTTTGGGGGCCGTCCCGGGCGCGGGGGCGTTTCCCCCCGAAGGCCCGGCGGTCCCCGCCTCCGCCAGGGGGCGCTTTGGCCCGACACCCCACTTATGGGGGTGCCCCTCCGGGGCCCTCCTCCAACTCCTCCTCCTCCTCCTCCTCCTCCTCCTCCTCCTCCTCCTCCTCCTCCTCCTCCTCCTCCTCCTCGTCCTCCTTCCTCCTCTGTTCCTTCTTGTGTCGAGCCGCCCGCCCTGGACCAACTTCGGCGCCACACAGCAGCTGCGCGCACATCGGCACCACTGAAAATTGATCGGAGGCCTTGCGCTGTCGCAGGCCTTGCTTGACCCAGCAGGACCCCCCACGCGATGGAAACTCTTTGGATACAGTGCTCCCAGTCTGGTGCAACCTCGGAGGCTCATGGAGGTCGCTGCTTGCGCTCGCAACGCCCCTGTAGATCTGCTCGCCGGCACGAGGTTGAGGGCGGCGCCTGGCGAGCAAGCACAGCGGCAGTCTCGAGTGGAGCCGCATGATTACACGTCGGTCGGAAGAAACAGGTAAGAACATGAAGTACGAAGGCGGACAACGAAGATTGGGTTCAGGCCCTCCCAGAGAATAACAGCACACAGCAAGAGCATGTCGATTCTTGAAGTAGGAAGGCGCTTGAAGTATATTTGGCCTCCAATTGCATGGTGGCACAATTCGCTCTAACGGCATCCCCGTTTAGGCATCTCAACGCCAACGCAGACGTCCCCTGCCTAGCCGCCGACGCTCACACGTAGCACCATTCTGGCCAGTCGAGGACCGTTCACGAACCGCTCGGCGGGAGGCAGCATCGGCCTCGGGCGCAGGGACCTCGCCCCGCGAGCGCATCGGGTTGTACCCGGGCCCCTCCCTGCTGCTCCTCCTCCTCCTCCTCCTCCTCCTCCTCCTCCTCCTCCTCCTCCTCCTCCTCCTCGCTGGACACCAGCGTCGGGGCGGTCTGCTTCCCCCTCCTGCAGAGAGCAGAAAAAACACCCCCACCAAGAAGCACCCCGACAAGTGAAGCCGTTTGGCAAACGCACCCAAGGAAAGACTCGAACAGGGCAGGGCCGTCTGGCAATCGCCCAAGGCCGCTCAGAAGATGACAACTGTCAGGCTCTGGTGGGTTTTTCCCCCCTCCTGGGCCCCGAGGCTCACAGGCGTCGGTAGTTTTCTGAGCCTTCCCCGAGGATAGACAAAAACTTCTCAGAAGCCGCGAGGGCTCCTGAGAAGTCCCGCCGCCTTCTGAGGAGGGCTTCTCCTGCACGGTTTCCCCCGGGGCCGTAGGCGACCCGAGAAGGAGGAGGAGGAGGAGGAGGAGGAGGAGGAGGAGGAGGAGGAGGAGGAGGAGGAGGAGAGGAGGGGGAGGAGGAGATGGAGGAGGAGGAGGAGGAGGAGGAGGAGGAGGAGGAGGAGGAGGAGAAGAAGAAGGACGGGTCGCCTAAGCCCTTCGGAGAAACCCTACAGCTTCTCCTTCTCGCTTCCCCCCCCCCCTCGCTCGCCGCCGAGAAACGGCCTCGTCGTGGATTGACTGCTTCGTGCTGCCCACGGGCGCGCTCCGCCGAGCCTCCGAGCTGCCTACCACCACGAAGGCGGCGCGCGCCCTCGGAGGTGCTCCTGGCCATCGCTCGGACGTCCCTTCCGTGCGTGTTTTGTCGGTTTCGCGCGTGGCTTTTTCGCCACATGATCCAGGATCCTCCTCGATGGCCCTCGCCAAAGGAAACATGCACACGCCCGAGCGATGCCAAGGCTCCCTGCCGAAAGGGGGGGGCCCCGCGCGACCCGCCGCCCGTGCGGCCTGGCCGCGGACCTTGGCGTCCCGACCCCGCCCTGCGCAGACGCAGGCCACCGCGCGGAGCTCCGACGCGGCCGCGGCCTCGCTCGGACGTCCCCATTCCCCGTGCACGTCTCGGTGTCGTGCGCGTTTTTTTGGGGGTTGCTCGATGACTCAGGATGCTCCCCGATGGTCCTCGCCGAAAACACACACACACACACACACACACACACACACACACACACACACACACACACACACACACACACACACACACACACACACACACACACACACGCGTCCGAGCGACGCCAAGCGACAGCTCGGCCTGCAGACGCCTGGCCTTCGCGGGGCCGCCCTGGCGGAGGTCAGCGACGCGCTGGCGAAGACTTCGCTTCGCGACGACGATGGCGATGGCGAAGCCTGCGTCGATCATGCTGGCCTCCAGTTGCCCTCGCGATGGCGAGGGCACCTGGAGTCCAGCATGCTCGACGCGGTCGCCGCCCCCGTCGCCAGGAGGCACGTCGGCCGTGCTCGGAGGACGCCTGGCGAGGAGCGGGCCTCGGCATCGTCAGCAAGCTCGTGCGCTCCTGCGAGGCCGTGCCAGGCTGCACATGGAGGGGCTGCCGCGTACGTACAGTCGGACCTGGGACAGAAACACATACTTCTCAGAGCACGAGACCCTCCGCCCAAGGGTACCCTCCCCAGGATGCACAAATCACGTCCTACGAGCACGAAGAACATCATGCTGCGCACTCCCCCAGCCGACCTCGATCTGGAACCTCGGCACGACTCTACCACGACTTCTGGGCCGGGGACCTCACACATCGGATCCGCTGGGAGGTTCGGCGGCGGACGAGGTCGCTCCGCCAGTCCTGGACCGAAGCTCCCCGCGACGCCCAGAAGGCGACGCGACCTCGACGGCGCTCCGTGCTCTGGCTACCGACCGGCGGGCACGGGGGCCTCGCCCCAGAGGAGACGACCTCGCGGCCCTGTCAGAGTGCGCGGGCCCTCGGGCTCTCCCTGGCACAGAGAGCGGGCTCTCTGCGAGGTGTACCGCCTTGGCCGATCTTGCCGCCTCCAGGGCCGAAGCGACCTGGGCCACCCCCCTCCCCACGCACGGCCCGGCCGTGCTCAGCAGCGCGCGCAGCCCGACGGCCGCAAGGCGGGGACCGGCGCGCGCCGATCCGGGTTCACTGCGGAGGGGCGCCCCAAGGGAGAGCAAAAGGGGAAACCCCTCCTGCGTGCTCGCCCCCTCTTCCCTCGCCATCGCTCGGACGTCCATTCCCTGTGTTTTTTTCGGTTTCCTGCGTGTTTTTTCGCCAAATCATCAAGGATGCTCCTCGATGGTCCTCGCCGAAGAAAAAATGCACACGTCCGAGCGATGCCAAGTTCCTTCGGCAACCACCACTGGCTCGGCTTTCTTTCCCGTGTGCCGCCCTTCATCAGGTTGGTTGGCTGGCTCGCACCCGCTCGCTCAGAGGCCGAGTGCGCCCGCTCAGGTCGTCACTCGGTCCGTGCTCGTTTCGCTGGCGGGCCGTGTCCCCTGATGGGCAACTCGGCTGCACAGAGCAGTCACAAGTGCCTCAGTTGCTCGGCCTTCGTTGCGCAAAGATGTTGCGGCACAGCCCCGCCGTCGCCAGCCCCACGCGGTGCGCGTTAACGGCCCACTGCCGCCTCACTGCAGGCAGCAACGACCACCCCAAAGAACGCATATGCTTCGCGCGTGCGGTCGTGAGCCCCACGAGCGGCGCCACTTGGCCCCCCATGCCGAGCTCGGCACGCTCGGCGGCAGCCTGGGTCAGCGCGGCGATCGCTGCACCAGAGGCGGGAAGAGAAGTCCTTTACATACAGGGGGCCACGGCGCCGAAAAAGTCACCAGGGGCGCCTGCGCTGGCATGCGCCGCGTTGGCGGCACGTGGATGGTGGTGGACTCAACCTAAGTGTCCATGCCGACGCCGCCAATGACCCATCGCGCCAAGAATGCTGGACAAGAGAAGACGGCCAGGTCTCCAAACTCCGCGCCCTCGCGCACCGTGCCCCGCGATGCGCGGAAAGCTTCGCGCCCTCGCGCCGCCGCCCTGGAGAAGGGCGCCTCTCCAACCCGAGCTGCTGTACGCGAAGCGACACATCTTCGCGCCCCTGGGGGTGACCAAGGACAGCGATGGAGACCCAGAGTTTTATAAAGGGGCCCCAGAACACACAAATAAATACACACATAAAACTATTCCCCATATTTCCCAAAATTTTCTGGGTTTTTGTCTTCCCCCCCACTTCCCATATGCTCGCATATTTTCCTGGGGATCGACGATTAATTGTGTCTGTGTGTTTTTTCCCCTCCTGATTTTAGCCTGGTGATAAAGGCGATCGGCTGAGGACGGAGGCCAGCGCTGCCTACGGCCGATGCCTCCTGTCTGCGATCGGGCTCCTCGGCCTGGCGCACCGCTTCTGCTCGGCGGGAAGAACCAAGAGGAGCAGGAAAATGAGGAGGAGGAAAGAGGACGAGGAGCATGACTATGAGGAAGGAGGAACAAAGAAAAAGAGAGGAGGAGGAGGAGGAGGAGGAGGAGGAGGAGGAGGAGGAGGAGGAGGAGCAGGAGGAGGAGGAGGAGGAGGAGGAAGAAGAATAAGAGGAACGATCCCCAAATGCCCCCCTTTGTGATTGCACTGCTGCTCGTACTCCCCCCTGGCAGGCCTTCCTGTACCCGATGCCCGGGACGCCAGGGATGCTGTCGGAGCTGTCGCCTCCCGCCGCGAAGGGGGGGAGTTGGAGGCCTGGAAATTGGCACCAACACCAACACAGGGGGCTGCCTCCACCGGGTGGTTCATCCTCGATTTCGGTGTTGGTGGTAATAATATGTAGGTCACCTTGGAAGCCAGAAGATTACCACCATCGCCGAGATCGGGATCTTCTTCCCTCGGTGGAAGGCACACCACCGATGTTGGTGCTGGTGTCAACCTCCAGGCCTGCGAGGGAGGGCGGCGATGGAGGAGCGAGGATGTGACGCAGGAGGACGTACCGACACTGTGCGCCTTCCTCGGAGGCGCGCGTCAGCACCGAGCATGCAGTGCGAGCGTATTGTAGCAGATCGCTGCCCCCGAGGCTAGACAAGAAGACTGCTGAACGCGCTCGTCGCCCCTGAGGGGCCGGCGCACACATAGTATCAGTATGCTTTGCACCGGTGTTGCCGATCATTTTAGGTCGGGCATGTCCCCCTACAGGCGGATTTTGGAACAAAAATGAATCAAGACAAAAAATGATCGAATTTTGCCGAAAAATAATCGAAAAATCGTCCCCAGACGATTGTCTACTGTTTCTGAATATTTCTCCTGTAGAGAAACACGCCCGATTTAACGATAGTTGGCTCCTTTCCGAATCAAGAGGCTCTGGCACTGCCGGAAGACTCGCGCGAAGCTTGCGTTTTCAGCATTTCCTGAAAAAGGAGTCCTCGGTTTCTTCCAGTGCGATGGACTTGGCAATAAACGATGATATCGGCGAGCTGACACATCGGCACAGAGCGGGCAAGCAGTCGGAGGCAGCAGCGGAGAGACTACAAGAACATGTCTGAATAACGAACCATCACGAATCAGCACGCTGGCGTCTCAGTTGGGTCTGGATCTCTGGATATCACTGAGAGGCACGTTACCATTAACTTCGTTGTGGTTCGGATGTAGCTGTTAATCAATCCGCCGATCCGTCGACGTGTGTGAGACGCTGTCGTCGTCGTCTTCGTCGTCTTCGTTCGTCGTTCGTCGTTCGTCGTCGTCGTGTCGTCGTCGTCGTCGCCAGTCCCAAGAAAATTGAGTAACGAACGCAGACAAGAAACGTCTTAGTTAAGTCGATAATCCTCCCTTTTGTCCTTCCCTGACGGGTGCGGGAGAGGGGGGGGAGGGGGGAGGGGGGGTCAAGACACCCCCTAGATAGCAAGCCGTCTAGCTCATCTCTGGATATCACTGAGAGGCACGTTACCATTAACTTCGTTGTGGTTCGGATGTAGCTGTTAATCAATCCGCCGATCCGTCGACGTGTGTGAGACGCTGTCGTCGTCGTCTTCGTCGTCTTCGTTCGTCGTTCGTCGTTCGTCGTCGTCGTGTCGTCGTCGTCGTCGCCAGTCCCAAGAAAATTGAGTAACGAACGCAGACAAGAAACGTCTTAGTTAAGTCGATAATCCTCCCTTTTGTCCTTCCCTGACGGGTGCGGGAGAGGGGGGGGAGGGGGGAGGGGGGGTCAAGACACCCCCTAGATAGCAAGCCGTCTAGCTCATTCCCACCCGCCCTCCCAACACACAAGTAACACCCGAGCCTGAGCATGTTCAGCGGTCGTCTTTGGATGGACAGCTACTGGGAACCAAAACCGACCCCACGTGCGCAACGCTGGGGCGAGGTGCGCCATGCGTGCCAGGCGCGCCACGCGCGCCAGGCACCCCTGGGACCTGAGCGTGCCAGGCACGCCTGGTGCGCCAGATGCGCCACGTGCTCCGCGTGCGCCAGGTGTGCCGCATACTCCAGCCGCGCCAGGTGCGCCACGATCGGGGCACGTGCACAGTGTGCCAGGTGCGCCTGCGCACGTGACAGCAAACATCGGGAAATATGTCGGCTACCATCCTTATCGAAAACCAATGCCCATCATTATGTCTGGTGAGCCTGCGCACAGCAGGTCATACGCCATCACCCCCGCCGTCCCTGTCAAAAACCACTTGAGAATGATCGCGGGGTGGCCGCGCGTGATCCAGATTTAGCCGCGAAGTGCATTTTGCATTGTTTTGTTAGGGATGGTAGCCCTGCGCACAGCAGGCAATATGCTGACACCCCCGCCGACCGTCAAAAACAATACAAAATGCTCGCGGGCCTCACGAACCTGACCCAAGACTTTGCCCCAAAGTGTACTTTGCATTGTTTTTGAAAGGGATGGGGGGGGCGCATCGGGTTGGCCGCGCATGCTCCGAATGTGGAGGCAGAGTGCGTTTTGTATTGTGTTTTGACAGGAATGGTGGGTGGTGGGGGGTGAGCATGGGGCCCTCATGGTTCCAGGTTGGCTGCTGGTCGGAGGGGGGGGTGTATACTAATGGGGAATGCTAATGGGGGGAAGTGGTCCTGGGTCAGATTACAACCCCCCCGGGGGTCCTGGCGAGTCCCAGGGGTGGTCCAACCTGTGGACAGGGGGGGCATACAAGGAGTTGAGCAGGGACCGACCGTCCCGGCATTCTTATAGTCCTACCACGACATGTTCTTAGAACCCAAAAATATTCGAATAACAAAGTTCTTAGAACATAAGCCTGATGTGATAAAACAAGACAGTCCCAGCCAGGAATGTTCTAAGAATACTTCGTGCAAGCCACAACAGGTTCTTAGAACATTTTTTGGTGGGTCATAGGCGAGCCAGGACGCCTTGCCACTGCTTGAGTGAAGGGGCCATGGGACACATACATAAATACACACAAATCAAAAGATTCCCCATGTTTCCCCGTATTTTCTGAGTTTTTGTCTTCCCCCCCACTTGCCATATTTTCCCATCTTTTCTGGGGAATCGACGATTCATTGTGTCTGTGTGTTTGTTTCCCTCCTGCTTGAGGGAGGGGGTCCCCCTGCGGGTGGTGGCCGGCCCTGGCCCTGGCCCTGGCCCCAGTCACGGCCCTGGCTTTGGCCCCGACCCTGGACCTGGCCGTGGCCCTGGAAGCGGCCGTGGCCCTGGGGTGCCCCGGGGTCCCTGGGAAGGTCCCGCCGTCAGGGTCGGTGGCACCGGCCGTAAGGCCTTCGCCATAGCTGGGCCCTATCTGTGCCAAGGTCAAAACACGTCCCCGAACTGAGCAGGAAAACAGTGGATCGAATAACTCATCCAGACCTATTTTTGCGCAAGGATGCCAAAGGGAAGTGCAGAACCATGGCAAACACATGTGGCCGTGATATTAATGCCCCCGTGGCTTCAGGGGACCACAACTATGGGACGATATCTGGGCAGCACAGCAAGGACAATCGATTGACTCCGTTTTGACACACTTGGGGGAACGGAATCACATGACATGATCTACAACTGACAATAACGAGTTCCCTTCAGGTGCATACGTATCGGCCAAGTGCTTTCCAGGATGGGCCGAGGGCCACTAGACGTTAGACGTTCTCCCCCGCATCAAAGCCGCCTGGCCACTGCCCCTTGCCCTGTCCCCCGTCCGCCCAGACTGCTCACGTCTCAGGGTCGGTGCCCTGTCGCGCCTGTCGTCTGGCTCGATCACCCTGCCGACGTGCCCACCCAAAATGCACATGGCCAGGGTCGGTGAAACCGGCCCTGTCGCGCCTGTCCTCTGGCTCGATCACCCTGCCGACGTGCCCACTCAAAATGCACACGGCCTCGTGGCATGAGCTCTCACTGCGTCCTACCTTGATCAGGAAGGGGGAGGCTCGACGCCACCCGATGAGCTGGCGGTATGCCCCCGTCGCCCCTCCGCTCAGCGCGAGCAGGTCGCCCATCTGCTCGGGGTCGACGCCCCAACGGTCCCTTCGAACGCGCGCCCTTGTTTCCTCTACAGTTCCTTATCCCATTCCGTCCTCCCTCTCTCCTTCCGTCGTCCTCCTCCTCCTCCTCGTCATCGTCCTGCTGCTCGAACTCTTCCTCATCCTCCTCTTCGTCCTCCTCCCCCTCCTCCCCGCCTCTTCCTACTCCACGCTTCCTCATTCGTCCTTCCTCCTCCCTCCTCCTCCTCCTCCCCCTCCTCCTGCTCCTCCTCCTCCTCCACCTCCTGCTCCTTTCTCCTCCTTCTTCAGTGGTCCATCATTCCTCCTCCTCCTCCTCCTCATCTTCCTCCTCCTCCTGCTGCTATAACTCCTCGTCCCCCTCCTGCTGCTATAATTCCTGTGGGGCGGAATAGCTAATATATCATACCCGCCATGCGGCAACACAGATAACAGAAACCTTATTAGTCTACTCTACCCGTCATGTCAAAACGCGGGGGGGAAGACAAATAGCACTCACCTCTACCCGTCACGTGGCAACGCGGAGAGGGAGAACTAACTTCTTGTAATTTGCCGCATGCGCGCCCGCCCGCCCGCTCGTCGTCGACAACGACGACAACGACGACGACGACGACGACGACGACGACGACGACGACGACGGCGAACTACCTCCTCTCCACACCTGCCTGTCGAACTCCCAGCCCGAGGGCTTCCCCCCCTTCCGTACCTCAATGTTTGAGATCCAAGATCCCCAATGATACTCAGGGGTCAGACAGGATATATATGAAATCCGTCCAAAACCCTCGGTCGTTGACTGTACTCGTCGGTGGCGCCGCGAAAAAAACTACACACATATCATCCGATAGCACCCGTCACGCGGCAACGCCTGCGGGAAGAACTGCTGTTCTATAAGTTCGCCACGTGGCAACGCACGGGGGAGGAAGATAACATCATCCTACGGCATTCCCCACGTGGCAACGCAAGGGCCGTAAACAAATAGCATTCACGTCTACCCGTCGCATGGCAGTGTGGGGGGAAAGGTGGAAAACAACGAACATTCTTCTCTACCCGACTTACGCGCGCCCGCCAGCCATCCCGCTCGCCGACGACGACTATGACGGCGGCGACGAGCTACCCCCTCCCTGTGGGCCTTTTCAGCCAAGCCCACCTCCTCTGCCCCCCCTCTGCTTCTCCATGTCTGGACTCGACAGAAACCCACATCTTCAATGATCCCCAAAGAAATCGAAGGGATCAGTCGGGATCTGTATGAAATTCTCTGGAGGTCCTCGATCGTCGACTATACTCGTCGCAGAGCACCACAGAGAACGGAAACAAATAAAGGCTGCTCTGCTCGTCGCATGGCGACGCTGGGGGGCGAACAAACAATATTACATCATACCCGCCACGTGGCAACGCAGGGGGGGCGGAAAACGTACCATTCTACGATACTCATCAAGTGGCAACGAAGTGAGTGGAAACAGCTAGTGTGGGGTTTCTGCTCTACGATGGAGAACGTGCGGCGACGAGGACAACGAAGACGACGACGAGGACGATGACGAGGACAGCGGCGACGACGACGACAACGACGAGACGCATACCGATGAAGACGACAGCGACTACGAGAACGACCGCGACGACGACATCGACGACGATGGTGACATGCGGCGCAGATCCACACAGGGAGCGAGGGGGGGAGCTTCCGAAGCCACCCCCCCCGCCCCTTGCAAAGGGGAGCCTGGGCTTAAGTCGGGCATGTCCCTCCACAGGAGGAATATTCACGAGGGCCTTCCTCCCAAAGCCGCCTGTAGGAGGACCTGCCCAGCCTAAGCCTGAGCTGACCCCCAGCCCCGAAAAAGGGAGGAGGGGGGCGTGGCTTCCGAAGCCCCCCTCCCTCGACCGGCAGACCCCTTGCTTCGCAGAGGGATAGCTTCTGAAGGCCCCCCACCCTTGAGAAAAGGAGTCTGGGCTCACCCTGGAAGGGAAACGGGGGAGGGGGCTCTGGTTTCCAAAGCACCCCCCCTTTACAGGGGGGGGAGCTTCCGACGCACACCCCCTTTGAAAGGGGGGCCCAGGCTTCACAAAGGGTAGGGGGATAGCTTCAGAACTCCCCACCCTTTTGGAAGGAAGGCATGGTGCAGCTTGAAGCTGGGGACCCCTTTTGGTTCTCCCCGTCTCCAGTAGCGCGCTCTGTCATAACTGCTCACAACTACATCTCCTGGTGCTACTGTGCTTACTTTCACACTACAACTACCCTCCTCGTCCTCTTCGGCTGGTCACCCGCCCTCTGGCCCAAGCAGTCCTGACATGCTTGGGGTCCATGATCCTGGTTCCGTCTGTCCGGCTGTTGATCACGTGGATCCTGATGGCGCATGAAGTGGACGGGGGGGAGAGGATGGAGGAGGGGGGCCAGGGGATGCAAGAGGGGATGGGTGAGGTGGAGGTTGAAGAGGACGAGGAGCAGGGCGACGAGAGGGACGGGGATGGGGAGGGGGCTCTCTCCGTCTCTCTCTCTCTCTCTCTCTCTCCCCTGGGCGTCTGGGATGGGCCCCATCCATACGTTTTTTTGTGGAGCTGGCCCTGTCCAAGGAGGGAGTAGGAGGAGAATGAGGCAGAGGAGGACGAGGAGGAGGACAGGGAGGACGAGGATTAAGAGAAAGGAGGAAGGAAGATGGGGAAAGAGGAGGGAGGAAGAGGAAGGATGAAGAGGAGGATGAGGAAGGAGGAGGAGGAGGAGGAGGAGGACGGAAGAGGAGGGAGGAGGATGGATGAGGAGGAAGGAGGACGAGAAGAGAGGAAGAGAAGGAGGGGTAGGAGGAGGAGGACCCGTGCAAAGCCAAGACTCATCAACGAGGTTGGAATAAACCCTCCCTCCAAACTCCCTTCTCAGATGCCCCTACAAAGATTCATTTCCACTGCAGGAAGTGCCACGTTAGGAGACAACCGTTTGAAGATGCTGAAGCGTGCCATAACACGATTCTCAGGACTTCAGCGCCACGAATCAGCATGCCTGTTGCGTATTGGTCATCCTGAATCGCGGCAGTATACCCTTCCTGCGACCTCAGCACCGTGAATCAACGTGACTGTCTCGCCCTGGCAATCACGCATCACTCTTGCAAATACGCAAAGACGAGCGCGCGCTGCGCTAGGGCGAGAGCTCCATGCTAAGAACGGCCCGCCCGATTTGCTTCAAACGTAGAGGAAAAAGAACTATGCACATGCACCGATCCTGGCCAGGCCCATCCTGAGCCCAGGATCGGTGCATACGCCCTCCTGCCTTGGCCAGGAAGGCATATGCACCGATCCTGGGTCAAGGATGGGCCTTGCCAGGATCAGTGCATGTGCATAGTTCTCTTCGCCCGAAAACGAAAATGCGCGGCGCTCCGGCGAGACGTCCCACTTTGGAAGCGGCCCGCCCTCCGCCCCGTGCAACTGTTGTTGTGTTGCATCCTCGGGGGACCTCGTCTGTCCCGCTGCGGCCCTGTCCGCATCGACTCCGTGTCGAGTCCATGTCGGACGCGTCGGATCCGTGTCGAATCCGCGTCGAATCCGCGTCGAATGCACGCCAGATCCGCGCCGAGTCCGCATCGAGCACGCGTCGGGCCCCCCAAAAGACACCCATTTTTGGGACAGGCGAGGTCCCCCGAAGATGCAACAGAACCGTTGCCAACTTGTGAGCTTCGGGATCAGACATGGCAACAAAAATCTCAGGCGAAACGCCCAGGCCGCCCTTCGGGTCGGCCTCGGGGCGCGACAAAGGGGGGAGCTGTGCGCAAGGAAACGGAGCGGAGGAGAGATGACGAGGAAAGAGGAGGAGGGGGAATCGAGAGGAGCGCCAAGGGCCAAGGTCAGAGTGCCTCGGCAACGCCGCTCCACGAGAGGGGGGCGAGGGAGCGGAAGCGGAAGAGGAGGAGGAGGACGAGGACGAGGAGGATGAGGAGCCAGGAGGCGGAAGAGGAGGAGAGAAAGGAGGAGGAGGACGAGGATGAGGAGAAGGCAGGAGGTCGGAGGAGGAGGAGAGGTCGGAGGAGGAGGAGGAGGAGGAGGAGGAGGAGGAGGAGGAGGGCAGCAGCAGCAGCAGCAGCAGTAGCAGCAGCAGCAGCAGCAGCAGGGAACAGGAGGCGGGAGCGGGGGCAGGAGGCGTATCGATGCGGATTTGCCTTTTAGGGTGCGCGGTATGCCCTGTTCACCCAGAGCGCGGGGGCGGGAGAGGCCGACGTCACGCGGCGTCAGCTTGGCGCCGTCGCCAGCAGGCTCTTGGACAGGAAGAGGGTGCGCTAGGCGATGCATGAGGAACCTTGATTCTGCAGTGACTTCGGCGGAAGGTGATGTACTGCGAGGAGGAGGACGAGGAGGAGGAGGACGAGGAGGAGGAGGAGGAGGAGCAGGAGGACGAGGAGCAATGAGGAGGGATGATGAGGAAGTCGAGGAGGAAGATGAGGAGGACGAGGAGCAAGCAGGCAAATCCTTGCAGAACAGGGCCCGCGAAAGGCAGAACCTCAGGTGACGCGCCTTGCGCGCGCACTGCGCAGAATAGCTTCTCCGGATCTCATAACAATTGGGGGGGGTCTGCTTTTGTGGGGGGTCTAACGGGCTTCGTCAAACACAATTGTGGGGGGGTCTCGATTTTAGATCCTTTGTTGCCTGTCTGGGGGGGGGGGTCTACTTGGGGGGGGTCCCAGACCGGCCGTCAAACACTTTTTTGACCCCCCCCCTGTATTATGAGATTTGGAGTTATTATACGCACGTGCTGCACACGGCGCAAGCTCGGGTATAGTCGAGTAGAGGAGGTATACAGCGTCGATCGCGCCATGGCATTCGTTTCGACGTGGGGCGTTTTGGTGCTGATGCCAACGGCCGAATTGTTGAACACATACGTCAACAACTCACTTCGTCATCCGAGACTTCACGAGCTCTTGGTGGAAGACGTCATTATCACCTCGCTCCTTCCACCACCACCCCATACACCTCCTCCTTCACCCTCCTCCTCTTGCGACTTGCGACTTGCGACACAACAACGACAGTCGTACAGTGGTACAGCCACAACAGAGCAGCTTATTTCCCTCGCCGATACTCGGCAGAGGAGCGCCTACTCCCCTCCCAAGCCCATTGGCCTCCTCCCTCCCCTCCAATCACTGATTCCCTCCTTCTCCACCTCGGCCCTCGTCCCTCCTCCTCCTCCTCCTCCTCCTCCTCCTCCTCCTCCTCCTCCTCCTCCTCCTCCTCCAGCTCCTCCCACGCGCCTGCTCCTCCTCCTCCTCCTCCTCCTCCTCCTCCTCCTCCTGCCTACCATCATCGTCATCAACCAAAACATGATCTCCATCATCACCATGACAGACGTCAGCATGGTCAACATCACCCTCATCATCGTGGTCCCATCACCACTACAACCATCCTCAGCATCATTATCAGCATCATCATCAGCATCATCATCGCCATCGTCATCATCATCAGCATCAGCATCAGCATCATCATCATCATCATCAGCATCATCATCATCATCAGCATCATCAGCATCATCATCATCATCATCATCATCATCATCATCATCATCATCATCATCATCATCATCATCATCATCATCAGCATCATCATCATCATCATCACCATCATCATCATCATCATCATCATCATCATCATCATCATCATCATCATCTCCCTCCTCCTGCACATCCCTCCCTCCCTCCCTCCCTCCCTCCTCCTTGTCCTCCTTACGCATCACCCTATTCACCTCTTCTCCTCTGTCATCGGCATCCTCCCCTCAAGGCCTGTCATCGACCAGCTGGAGGAGGTCCTTGTCGTGGGACACCTCCCACCAAAGTTCTCAGCGGCACGAGGAGGGATGAGGAGGGAGGGAAGAGGCAGGATGGAGGCATGAGGGAGGAAGGAGACAGGATGGAGGCATGAGGGAGGGAGGGAGGGAAGAGGCAGGATGGAGGCATGAGGGAGGAGGCAGGATGGAGGCAGGAGGGAGGAAGGAGAGAGGAATGCGGGAGGACGGAGCGAGGAGGGAACAGATACACGTCGGCAGCATGAGGAGGGCGGCGGGTAGTGCAGATCGGGCTCCGGACCTCCGAGGGGGCGAGCAGTGCACGGCAGAAGCACATCGACTCTCTTGAAGTAGGAAGGCGCCTGGAGCAGTTTGGGGTCTGAGAGCCCGGAGGTACCTACTGTCAGCGACCGACGGGTAAGGTTAGGTCGGGCGTGCCCCCCATACAGGGGGATGTTCGACGGAAAATAAAAAAATACCCCAAAAAACTCAAAAAATAGTCAAAAAATAGTGCCCAGAGCATTTTTGGAGTATTTTTTTGCTATTTTTGGGGTATTTCTTATGTTTCATCGAAAATCTCCCTGTAGGGGGGCACGCCCGACTTAAACCTGCTGTCAACGGCCGACGGGTAAGGGGGCGAGAAGAAGAGGGGAGAGCAGGCGCGCCGCCTGCCCCATGCTGGCCCCCCTCCGCTCCCTGAGAAACTCTATCGTTCCTTCTTTCCCTCCCGCCCCACCTCCTCCTGCCCCCGTCCCCCCCTCCCCCCCCTCCTCCCCCTCCTCCTCCTCCTCCTCCCCCCCCCCTCCTCCTCCTCCTCCTCCTCCTCCTCCTCCTCCTCTCTTCCTCCTCCCTCCTCCTCCTCCTCCTCCTCCTCCTCTCCTCCTCCTCCTCCTCCTCCTCCTGCCCCCAGCCTCCCCCTCTTCCTCCCTTCCTCCCCCCTCCTCCCCTCCTCCACAATGACACAGTATGCATACTGCTCTCCTCTCCCCCCTGGTGGCGTCCGGGAAACATTCGGCCCCCCTCCGCCCCAAGAGCCCCTCAAGGGCCCGAAGAGGCCCCCAAGAGACCCCCAAGAGGCCCAACAGAGGCCCCAACAGGCCCGAAAACAGCCAAGAGGCCTTTCAACCACAACCCCAGCACGGTGACGGGAAGGGCCGCAGGCCACAAGGCTCCCTGTCTGTCTCTGCTACGACTCCCTCGGCCCACATGGGGAACATTTCCTTCGCCTTCTCCTGCTCCCTTCCGCCTTAATCCCCCTCCTCCTCCTCCTCCTCCTCCTCCTCCTCCTCCTCCTCCTCCTCGTATTCGTCGTTGTCGTCTTCAGGGTCGGCGGCACCGGCCGTAAGGCCTTAACAATATTCGGCCCCCCTCCGCGCACTGGTTTTTACACACAGGATTCCCAGGAGTTGGGTTTTCACTTTTGCTTTTTCAAAATGCTGCTCTCGCTGAAGCGCTGGCATCATTTTCGGGCTACCGCTCGTTCCGAATCGTGCTCCCGCTGCAGGGATGGCCTCATTTCCGCGCTTCCGCTCGTCCCGAATCGTGCTCCCACTGCAGCGCTGGCGTCATTATTTCCAGTGCCATGCCATGGCATGGTTTTCGGTTCTCCCAAATAGGCCCCAACATCTGAAAAATGGCCTCCGAAAAAAACAGCGGAAGTGATTCCACATTCGGTGTCGATTCGCTGATATTTTGGGCCGCAGAAGCCCCCCCCCACTTTGGGGCGTCGCCATGTCATGCTATGTCACGCTACGCGTTGATCTTCAACACCATGCTATGCCATGTAATGCTATGCCATGTTGCGACATCCGACTGTGCGAACAGAGAGGAGATCTACGCCATGGTAAGGGTGCGAGGGAGGGGCAGGACGCCATATATGACGCGAGCGCACCCAGCCTGTCCTCCCCCCCTCCCCTCCTTCCTCCCCTCTTCCTCCCCTCCCCCCCCCACCCTCCTCCCCTCCTCCCCTCCTTCTGTTCCTCCCTCCTCCCCTCCTTCCCCACCTTCTCCTGCTGGAGATGACTGTGACCTCCTCCCCCCCGCTGCTTCCATCCCTCCAGTTCTCCTCCTCCTCCTCCTCTTCCTCCTCCTCCTCCACATTTTCCAACCTCTCCTCAGCCTCTTCCTCTTCACTTCCCGAATCCTTTTGCCTTCTCGTCGTGCACCCCTCTTACGCATCATCCCCTCATCCTCCCTGCTCCTCCCTCCTACTCCCTCGTTCTTTCTCTCATCTGTCCTCTTCCTGAAGTTGCATGATCATTTAACGTTGCTGCTGCCTTCATCGCCATCGTTCCCGCCGCTGGCAGGGTGCCCTGAACTCGTGTCCTCGTGAAAGTTGCGTCGTGCGCTACGCGCAAATCGGCTGCTGGGTCCGGTCCTATAAACATGAGGAGGGCGACGATTATCCCAAACGCAGCAAACAATTCGACAACTTATGATGCCAACCATCTCGGATCATGCCAACCACCACAACCGACGCCGGCGAAGGCCAGGGGGGCTACGAGGCGGGAACACGCTCGGTCCAAAGTGGCGAACTGACGACCATCCTCCATCTTCCCACCGCCCCCCCGTCCCCCTTGAGCCTCACGACACACAAATAAATACACACTACTAAAAGGATTCCCCATATTTTCCAATATTTTCTGGGTTTCTGTCTTCCCCCCCACTTCCCATATTTTCCCATATTTTCTGCGGAATCGACGATTAATTGTGTCTGTGTGTTTTTTCCCTCCCGGTCAAGGGGGGGGGGGGGGGCGCGGGGGGCAGAGGGGGCCCTCGAGGCCCTCCCAGAGCCCCTCAGGAGGCGCAGCAGGGTACCAGAAGGGCCCCACAGAGGCCCCCAAGGTAACGGTGCCACGCCGAAGCGATGAGATCTCATACCATTGGGTGTCCGCCTGGGTCCTCTTGGATCCCTCTTCGGGTCCCCGTGGGAGCATCTCGGCAACCAACATCGGACCTCGGGGAGGCGGAATAGAGGGGGTTCAGGGTTGCATATAGGTCGGCTCCCGGTGAATCCAAGCCTCCCGAAACAATAACACGCCTGCCCCCCGGGCGCATCCTCATCCTTCTCCTCCGCCCCTCCTTGTGTCCCCGCCCTCCCTCCTCGTCCTCGTCATCCACCTCTCCCACATCTCCCTGTGCCGCTGGCCGTCACAGTCGTCCCTTCTCCTTCTTGGGCGCTGTCCTCACCACGTGCGGTCGAAGCTCTCTGATTCCTCGCTGCCCTCGTCAGCGCTGTCGAAATGGCCAAGGCGAGACCACTGGTGGCACCGGAAATGCCATAAGACCCATCTGAAGTCAGTAAGGAAATGTCCGCGAAGCCGGGATATCCAATCGTAGACGACGCATAAGTAGATGACGACGAGGCGATCGATATATGTGTATACACCCGTATGGTTGAAATACTTGTTTGTTGCGGTTTCTCCTGTTACGCAGACCGTGTGTTGAATTGTTGCATACTTGCGGAATGCTTAAATCAGTCAACGGACCTCATCGCTGATAGGACATCCTCACCCTGCAGCAAATCAGATTTCCATCATGGTGTCGCTGATGGCATTGCCATCAATATTGCGTACGAACTAAGCGAGGAGTAGAGCTGCAACTGCACTCTCCAGAGAGCGTTGCACAACCAACGGTGTAGTGAAATGAAATTGATCATTAGGGGTCACTTTCATATCTCTTGCTGCTGCACCTCCTCCTCCTCCTCCTCCTTTCAATCCCTCCATTCCTCATTCTCCGCCATCCTCCATGCTTCTCTAACTCCTGCTCCTCCTCCTCCGCCTCCGCCTCCTCCTCCCCCTCCTCCTCCTCCTCTTGTCCTTCTCCTTCTCCTCCGACGTCTCCTCCCCCTCCTTCTCCTCCAACATTTCATGTTCTTGCTGATCCTCCTGCAGCTTCTCCTCCGTGCTCCTCCCCCGAAGAGCACGATGCGGACGTCCGACTTCGGGGAGGCCACCCGGGCGTAGGTGGCGATGAGGTCGTCGGCCTGGGCGCCCCGGGCACGGTGAGGCCCGCCAGCCGGCTCGAAGCAGTGGGCACAGATATGGGCACAGGTCAGTGAAGGGGCCCTGGGACACACACAAATCAATGCACACAAAGAAAAAGATTCCCCATCTTTTCCCATACGCTCTGGGTTTTTGTCGTCCCCCCCACTTCCCGTATTTTCCGATATTTTCTGCGGAATCGACGATTAGTTGTGTCTGCGTGTTTTTGCCCCTCCTGAGTCAGCGCAGGCCAGGGGGGAGGCGGCGGGCAACGGCAGGAGCGGGAGGGCCCAGGATCGAATTGACAGCTCGGCTCGGCGATCGAAGAGGATCGAGTCGGGAGCCGAAAGGATCGAAGAGGATCGAAGAGGATCGAGTCGGGAGCCGAAAGGATCGGCGTTCGAAGAGGATCGAAGAGGATCGAGTCGGCTCGGCGATCGAAGAGGATCGAAGTCGGCAGAAAAACCGGCGGCCGAGCCGGGAGAGGTCGAAGCGGCGGAACTCGGCGGGCCAGTGTGCGTCCAATCAGAGCCCCGAATCATCAGGGGTAACTCGGGTCAGGGCTAACTCGGGTTCCTTTCTCGGGAATCCAAACCCGAGTTACCCCGGACCCGAGTTATCCCGGATAAGTCGGGCGCCCAAAGTGTGCGTCCAATGAGAGATCGGCACCCGAATCGGAACCCCACAGCGTGAAGGGGCCCCGGCACACACAAACACATACACAGAAATCACAGGATCCCCCTCGTACCTTCCCACACTTCCTGGGTCTCGGTCTTCCCCTCCCCGCTTCCCAGATCTTCCCCTATTTTCTGGGGCATCGACGATTCGTTGTGTCTCTGTGTCTCTGTGTTTTTTGTCCCTCCTGAACAACGAAGACCATGACCAAAGACTGAACGAGAAAACGTCGGTGTCGATCCTGGTATAGAGGGACAGCAGCCCGCATAAGCAGAAATTCTTGAGGGTCCGCGCGGATCTCTTGGATCTGCGCTGCAACGAAGGCCATGACAAGAGACTGAACGAGAAAACGTCGGTGCCGACCCTGGTCCAGAGGAGCAGTGTTTTTGTATGTTTGTTCGTCCCTCCCGCTTCCCATATCTTCCCATATCTTCCCATATCTTCCCGTATTTCCCCATATTTTCTTCCCATATCTTCTGGGCTTCGGTCTTCCCCCCCGCTCCCCATATCTTCCCATATACTTTCTGGGGCATCGACGATTCGTTGTGCTTCTGTATGTTTTTGTTGCCCCTCCCGGCGGTGGGGGAGGAGGAGGAGGAGGATGAGGAGGAAGAGGAGGAGCAAGAGGAGGAGGAGGAGGAAGAGGAGGAGAAGGAGGAGGAGGAGGAGAAGGAGGAGGAGGAGAGGAAGAGGAGAGGAGGAGGAGGAGAGGAGGAGCAAGAGAGGATGGAGGAGGAGGAGGAGGAGGAGGAGGAGGAGGAGGAGGAGGAGGAGGAGGGGGAGGCGGAGGAGGAGGAGGAGGAGGAGGAGGAGGAGGAGGAGGAGGAGGAGGGATGAAGGGCAGGAGGGTAGATGAGAAGGGGGGAGGAGCCAGAGGAAGAGGGGGACATGGTCCTCCTGGGGCCGCTCAGCAAACGCCAACTGCGAAGGGGCCCTGGGGCGCACAAATAAATGCACACAAAGAACAGGATGCGCCAAACATGCGCACGAACAAACACACAGTGCACAAAAATACTGAAAAAATGCCGGAAAAGTGCTCGAAAATAGTCAAGAAGATGGTCCCCTGACCGTCGGCGTGGATCCCAGCCCCCCAAGAAGGAGCCGAACAGGGCAGGGCTGCTGGGGCGCAAACAAAAAGCATTACAGTACTATATGTTATCCATGGAGGCGCGCGTCCGACCCACATATATAGTATAGTATACTAAGTATACCTATCTTGTAGTAAATCGTTTCACGAGCGGTGTGGCCAGAAAGTGCCCGCCACGACGTGTATACCATGAGATGTCTCGGTGCGCGCATCGCCCCCCGGGGGGCGACGCTCATATATAGTATAAGTAGATTGGGGTGACGCCGAGAGCATGGGGTCACGATCAGTATCGTTGCAGCTGCCTTGCAGACGTGCTGCGGCGGATTTCTGAGTGGATGTTTGCCCGAAGCGGCGAGCGAAACACGAAGTGAATGTCGCGTGGGTTCTGTTTGGTCTTCATTCCTGGCCCAAGCAAGTCCGCTCGAAATTCGCCTCGAAACCCGGAACGAAATTCTCCTGGACACCCCGGCCCACCCCATCGCTTTCCGAGCAAAATCCGCTCTGCGATGTTGGCGCCGAGGCGTGGTGGACCAGGACTGGCGGCGCGCGACACGCCAAGCCAACCTTCCCGACCGTGGTGTCCCGCCCGCGAACTGCATCTGCATCCGCAGGGCTGCCCAGCTAATGCTAATGTTGGCGCCATGATCAGCAAAGGAGGCGGTGGGAAAAGGATAGCAACACCCGCCGGCACCGAATCGGGAACTCGGATCGAACTGGAACGCGCGTCAGATCGGGCCGCCTCGGCAAGGCGTCGACAACGAATCGGAGCGGCTGCACCAAGATGCACAGCAGCGCCCTAGAGGCATCGGGCCGCATCGGACCGCTGGGAAATCGAAATCGCATCGGATCGGAGCAGACGGAAACGAGACCGAATCGGATTTATCGGATCGAACTGGGCCCTGCGATGGAAGGGGCGCGCGGCGCTCTGGCGGCAGAGCCGAACGGCTGGTGCGCGCGAGCGTCCGTCGCCTCCGTCG